AACAAAAAAGCAAAGATCTGATTAACAGTAAATTCATATTTCAGTGCAAAATATTCAGCAAAATATAAATAAATTAGCGGTGAAATTTCCACAGCAGACTGTGTGCCAGCTCTTGGTGCAGTATCAACACCCACAATTGGGCAAAGCATGTGTGGTAATTGATTTCTGCTGCTTTTTAGCGAAGCGATTTAAGGCATCTGTGGTAGGTAAAAGTCTTATTTAGTGTTGATAGTCACACAGAGATATCACTGGAAGACTCACATGGCCTATCCCTGGTTTAAAGGGATTTAGATTAGTATTGCAATAGGTTCAGTTAGTTACATCAAGGGCTACAAAGCAAGATCGTTTCATAATATTTTCACAAACTGGTTAAACTGGTGGTAAACAGCTGTCCCTGTTTCCATGGAATAATGAACATCTGTCAGTGTTCTCTCTGAGTAGAATTGTGGGCATTTTTTCACAAGGGACCAGGTTTAAATTGCAGAAAATGGGCACTCAAATAAGAATGAAGTACATGAATAATTTCTTAGCACACTTAACCATCTGTTTCTTCCACCATATACTTCTTCATCACTGTCTTCAAACTCATGCAGGTATGTGTATACAATTATTTTGACCAATCAGATCACTTCCTTCTTGCTTTCAGCTAATGAGACCTCTGGAAAATCATCCAGATCCAGCCCATCCCCTACCAGCCCCGGGACTCGACGCAGCCTCAAGGTCACAATGATCAGATGATTGATGGATGGTTTTTATTTGTAATTGTTGTTTGCAATAAAAATGTCTAATGGTTCATCCTTACTTTTGTCTTCAGATCTCACCTCGTCGTGCTTCTTCCACTGATGTAAACGGAGAGGCCGAACAGCCAGATGACACTGCAGAAGGTGAAGGTGAAGGTGTGTGTTTATCTTTTAATCAAGTCTGCAGTTTGTGAGTGTAATATCTGAAGTCAGTGACCGTGAAATGTGAACTTCTTGGTAACAGATGCAACTTTACAAAAAAAAGCTCCTACATGACACAGAAGTTGAGTGAGTTTGATGGCTGTTTGAAAGACCTGAGAGGCTATAGGCTGAATATCAAAGTGAATTATTTAAAAACAGCTTCTTGATAAAAGTACACATGGTGGCTGAGAACCTCACTGTGTGCCCAGTGCCAGGCTGAAAGCATTGAGCCTCTGGCATCAGTGCATGCTCCCTGGCTTGCACTCTGAGGGTCGCACAAGTGCTTGAAAGTCAAAAGACCAAATAAAAACTCAGAGAAAAGGCTCAGTGGCTTAGGAGGGGGTAAAGATGACAGCACATCTGTGACTCTGTGGGTTTGAAAGCAGATTTTCTGAGGTGATGCTTTGAAGGAAGCTGTCAAACTCTGAAACTTTCAGGTTAACTCAGAGGTTGTGTGTTCAGACTTTAGGAAGTCAGTGACATTTGAAAAGTCTTCTTTTCACAGTGAACGGCAATCGAACAGTTTCTTCCTCAACCATCAACGAGAAGTACAAGGTTGGAAAGGTGATCGGAGACGGAAACTTTGCTGTGGTAAAGGAGTGCGTGGAGAGGTAAATAACCATCACATAACTCAGTGAATGCACCTGCTGTTTGCAAACTGATATACTTAATCACACTGAGAAAAGTCAAAAACTAGAAGGGGTAGGTGACGTTTATATACAAAAAATGCCTCATGTTAGCCCTTTGCTAGATAGTTGCCAGGTAACATGATGCTGTTACAACATATCATGCATAATTCAAGTTTTGTAGATATAAATTAGATGTTATTATTAAAACGTTGCAATGCTTTTATAAGGTATAAGGTGTTATAGGTCCAGAAATGCTAAATGTTTGCTAGGCAACATGATGTGATATACATAAGAACCTCAAGGGACCGAAGATGTGTGTGTGTGCCAAGGTTGGCTGCTGAACTTCTGATAGTCTTGGAGAAGTTTGTGGTCAAAGAAACAAACACAGACAGATTTTGTGTATTATTCTCAGGCTCAGTAGGCCCTCTGAGTGCAGTAGCTCAACATTGGGATTCAGGAGGTGTGTGAATCTGTAATATTTTATCTTTGTTTGACTGACAGGTCAACAGGACAGGAGTACGCTCTGAAGATCATAGACAAAGCTCGTTGCTGTGGGAAGGTAAGACTCACTGATCTCTGACTGATCCTGAGTTTATGTAAAGTCCTCTGAAATGATGAAGACACCAAACCTCTCTGTGTGTGTAAACAGGAGCACCTGATAGAAAATGAAGTGGCGGTCCTGAGGAGGGTTCGACATCCGAGCATCATCCAGTTAATCGAGGTGGACGAAACGCCCACTCAGCTGTTCCTGGTCATGGAGCT